AAAGGTCGCAAGGCGCAGGGCCCCGCGTCGGTCGGTTTGCGCGCGTCCCGCGTCTTGGGTGAGTGGACCCGGCCGCTGTGTCCGGAGGGCCCGCACCCGCTGACCGTTGCTGTCCTTTCACGCCTTGCAGCTAACCGCCTGTCTGCACGGATCGGCCGCCCTGCTCTACCCCATGTTCTGGCAACACATATACATCCCGGTGCTGCCCCCCCACCTGCTGGACTACTGCTGGTAAGCGCGGCCCGGCCCCGGCCCCGCACCGGGCCTCGGCGGCGGGGAAGAGCCGTTTCTCCGCCGGCCGGGTAAGCTCTCCGGAACCTGCCTTGGGGATCAGTGTTAAAACGTGCTTTGAGGAGGGGGCCGAGGGGTCACCCTGTTCCTTTCGAAGCCTGCCGCCAGGGCCTTCCGGCGGCTCCCGCTCAGGCGAAGGACGCGTGGGTCACGGTTCAGCATCTGGAGTTTCCTTACTGGTTGCCAGCTTTTGGGAGAAATTCTCACAACCTCCACGCCAGACACTTCCCGGGCCCGGGAGCACAGCTGATCAAAACCTCCGAGCCTCAGGTCACCAAGAGGGGCTCAGCTTCTATCAGGGGGATTGGGCAGGACGAGATATATATATATATAAATATAAATATAAATATATATATATATATATAAGGATATATGTATTTATATATATGTAGCTAAGAGTCCAGCTCTCTTCCAGTGTCAGGAAAGTCTATGGCTCCAACTGTTCCCCGGGGGGAGGCTTTCTTCCCTTTGACCCTTGCAGGTGACGCGGGTCATGCCGGTCTGCGCGCAGAGGGGGGTTTGCTGGAGGCCTCGCCTTCCGCTCCGTGGCTTAGGTTCCAGTCCGGCAACGGCACCGGGCAGGTGGCGGGACCCACTCCCGGGAGACCTGATAATCAGCAACACGTGTCCGATGCATTTTTATGTCTCCTCCCAGAAGGACTTCCAGACACGAGAACTGGCGCTGGGGAAGGAACCCGCCTTCCCGCTGTTAAGCAAAAGTGGAACAGTCCACATTTATTGATCCTGTTTCCTTTATTTAAAAAAGTTTATCTTTATTGTTGAAAGTATTGCAGCTGTCCCCCCCCCCCTTCCTTTCGAAAGCTGCTTGAGTATGAGACCCCCAGGGGAGTGTTTCCATCCATAGTGTTTATTATTGGATCCAAGCCCCTAGACCGGGGCACCTGGTGTGCTCTCGATATTTTAATTCCATTTAATATTATTCTTAAACTTACTTGAATATGTTCTAATATATTAAAGCTATTCTGTTAATAAAAGGGAACCTGGGGTAAATATGAATGTATAATCTTTGAATTAAAAGGCAAGATACGTGAGCAGAAAGACAGCTCAGGAACAGGGTGGCGACCGTCGGGCGGGACTTGCACCTCAGGTTCCCAAACTGCCTGGCGCACAGTAGGTCTCAATAGATATTTGGTACTGACTGAATCGGAAAACTTCGGTGATGTAGTAGGTATGAAATATGATGTATTCGGGTGGTGGGGGTGTAGGGGGGAGGTGGAGAGATTGAGCAGAAAGAAAGAGAAAGTGAGAGAGAAAGAGAGAGAATTCACGGTCCTGGACAGCGGTCTGGTGATTGCGGAGGTGGAGGCATCCGGAGGACAAATGGCGATGGAAAAATAAAATAAAATAATAGAAATAAGAACCTCACTGAATAAAAATGTGTACAAAGGGAGTGTGAATAAATTTGGTGATTCCTTAGGATATATTTGGTGTGAAGTATATGGAAAAGATGGGCCTCAGATTATGGCCTAGACCCTAATATTCTTAATCAGTAAAGTTTTTTAAGGCATTAATTACATCTCTTGATTTAATTATAAATGGTTTTGTGATTTTTTTTTTAATATACATCAACCCTAACTTGAATCTATTAATGGCCTTTAAGATTAAATTGCAATTTTATATAGAGCGTAATTTAAAATACCTATAACATGCTGCGCTAGAACTGTGGGTTCAGTACATTTATTTTCTAAGCATACGGAATTACTTAGATTGTTGTTTCCGTTTTAATGAACTGTGAGTGTGTTTGTGTTTTTAACTCAGTGCTCCAATGCCCTACCTGATCGGGATACACTCCAGCCTCATAGAGGTGAGTATCTCTCAGACCTAAGATAGCGATTCATTCATAAAAGTAACAGTTAAAACTGTTGTGCTTTGAAAGAATATCAGTCAACTAATACAAAGCAGTAACTAGTTTTCCATAATGTACATTATGCTCACATGGTCATTTTAAAAAAGGTAATATTGAATTAATTTCATTTTAATTCGTATCCTAAGTGACCATCCTCAGTGCCATACAACCCATGAAAATGGGTTATGTTTGGTTAAATCATATGGTTAAGTTTTAAATCCGCAAAGCAAAGCTTTAGCTCTCAGTGAACCACTCAGTGGTACCTGTGATCTATCCATATATTTCAGATTTGTATTTTGAAAGTCAGAACTCAGGTAATTATGAGTCATAAAGGCAAAATGTTTTCTTTTGCAAACTTCATTATGATTCAGTTTATCAGTGTGCTTTTTTCAAATGTGGTTTTATTGCACTAATAAAACTTTTAATTAGAAGATAGCTTAATTTTTTTAAAAAAGTTTTCAGTCTCCTTGGGGATTTAAGGTGTAGTGGTTTTTCTGCACCGTCATCACCTCATTCCCCACTGATTTACATCACCTGAGTCCTCTCTGTAGTGAATCACCTTGACCTTGAATCACCTTGACCTTTAATCACCTTGACCCTTAATCACCTTGACATTTCCAGAGAGGACTTCTTATAAGATTAGCATTGAAAACAAAGGACTTGGGTCAGAACTCGATAGCATTATGCTGGCTGATTCCAGTTTTATTTAAATAATTTTTTTTTTTTTTTTTTTTTTGCTGGTTGTGCATGTTGAACTTTGACCCAGCTCCTAACCTAGGTGAATTGGATTTGGTTTTCTTATTAGTGGTTGTACAGTGCCAACAACTTTTCTGATGAAGGGAGATCCTGTTGATAATTTTGAAACTGAGGATCGTGTATGGAGAGAGTCGTGTTCCTCTCGGGGTCCTGACCCAATGGGATTTCACATGTGCTCTGGTTCCAGTCATTTTTTTTCTTTTTGCAAAATGCTGGGGCAACGTTTTTTATTTGTTTCACCTTTAATAAAGAATACATTCTAATGAGTTTCCTTAGGAGGTTTAATTTGTTTTTAATGTTGGAGTCTGGGTTGGGTAACATTATGACTCTTTATATTTTGTTATTTTTAGAAAGCTTGTTCTTACATGTCAAGGCACCTGCAGCGAAAGGACAGATTGTATCTAATAAAACATGAATGAATAGTTATTAATCTGTTATTAGACTGTGGAATATGTGACTGGCATTTTATTTATCAGGAGTTTGACTTGTGCAAAATCTAACCCTGCTTGGTTGATATGGTTTCCAAAAAGTCATCAAATTGATTTTGACATTAGCGTACATGTCTCTCTGTGTGTAATGTATCTAACAGAATACATAATTTTTACAATATATTCATTTATACAGGTTTTATACAGATAAAAGATATTTAAAGTTGTTGATTATACCCATCATATTGTTTTTTGCATAATTATTCTATATCAACTTTTAAAACACATGATTCAGCTTTTCCAAAATATTGTAGACAGAGCTACATGTTTTAAATATTCAATTAAATTTATCACATACTTATTGGACACCTGCAGGAAAAAAATAGTACCTTTTAATATATATATATCTTTATTGATTTCAGGGAGAGGAAGGAAGAGGGAGAGAGAGAAACATCAATGATGAGTCATTGATCGGCTGCCTCCTGCACGCCCCCTGCTGGGCATCGAGCCCGAAACCCGGGCCTGTGCCCTGACCGGGAATCGACCCTCGATCTCCTGGATCCTAGGTTGATGCTCAACCACTGAGCCACACCAGCCGGGCAAAAATAGTACCTTTTTAAAAGAGCGATTTAAGAATTATTTATTCCTCATAGTATTGTCTGGGGAAACAGTTTATTCTAACTTGAAATTGGCCGCTATCATAGAATTGAAATTCAGCTGATCAGATTTGAAGAGTGTAAGTCTCCACAGTTTCATGTAGCCACGCCTATTTTGTAAGTCTTTGTTGTGATATCCCTGTAGTGGTTGTTATATTCATTATCTCCAAACTAAATCGGTATGTTTATAGGAGCAAACATTTTATTTTAAGCATTTTTACCCCATTTTTCCGAATGGTTGTATAGGAGTTATTTTTCTCATAGAGCAAAATAGTTTATATTCTTTCATAGTGTAGGATTTTCCTTTTTCCTTCCCCCAGACGAACGCATCGCGAGGATTTTCTCTACATTCCTAAGCTCCTTAGACTTTGGAAGGACAGTATACTAAGATGTTTGTAATTGTGTGTTTTTAAACAGAGAGTGAGAAGTAAATCACTGGAGGATGTGGTTATGTTAAATGTCGACACGAACACTTTAGAATCGCCGTTCAATGACCTGAGCAACCTGCCGAGCGACGTGGTAAGTCTGGGGGGTACTTTGCGGCGGACGTAGACCCCCATAGACGGTTTCTCCTGCCCCCTTGACTTTCCAAGGCGGATGCCCCCCACTTGAAACCCCCCGACACAGAGGGGCTGGGCGTGTGCGAGCGTCCGCGTGGCCTCTCGTTTCCCGTTTTTACCTTTTGGCAGTTGGGGCGCTGGGGGGAGCACCCCCCCC